ATTACATTTGTGGTCATTTTAACTTCAAGGAAAATCCAAAAGTTTTATAGTGCCAGATCTAGTGAATAAGGTGGACAAGGACAGACTGTAATGTTTTCACAAGCATTCCTTCTTCATGGGATAGTACTACACAGAATTTCACTGTATTTTTGATCACATCTAGTGGACCCTTATGAAAGAGGACTTCTAGATTGCTTCAGAAAACGGTAAGAATGATGGAATATATGTGTTTGAAGCAATGGGGATTAATGGTAACGTGTCTTTTACTGTAATACATTTTAATGTAAACAATTACCATATATTCTGATTGTACCTCTATACTTTGACACCATTACTATTTCCTGTACAAAGAAGACTCTGTAATCTTTATTGTATCTTCAGTTTGCACTGATATAAAGCTGTATAACTGAAAAATTAAAAAATACAAAAAACCAAAATAAAACCCCAAACCCAACTGTATCTATAAAGAAATTAAAGTAGGTGATGTATATAAACATTTTAAACGTTTGGAGAATTGTTGAAATTTGTTGCTAGATGGACTTAGTTACTCTTCTAGTTTTTGTTAGTAAGTGGCTAAAATAAACCATAAGCAAGTCTACCTCTGGATATTAATGAAACTGAATTTTTAGTTTTAGAATGAAGCCTTTAAACCACTTACATGATTCTTAAACAACTAAAGCATCTTAAAGGAAGTCATCTAATTTCTAGAGCTTTACCTTTCTTTGCTTTAGGCCACAGACATCAACAGTTTGACATTTATTTAATCATACACCTCACTAAGTTATGACTTAGCCTTCTTGAGAAAATCACAAGAAAAACTTACGTTGCAACCCTATTTCTTGGGAATCCATATATGAACTTCAGGTTTTTTCTTTGCCTGATTTTCAGTTGCTAATGGTAAACTTAAATGGATTTCCCTAATCATTGCTTTCTATACGTGATAGCACACTTTTTTCCTCAACAGACTGCCCATATATAGTCACCCCAGTTGCTTTCAGTGATCAACTCTCACCATAACGTTAGGAAAATTTTTGCATATTGTTAAGAATCAGATTTGCATATTATCCAAATATTTTACCAAAGTACATGACTGTAAATCACCAACCAGTTGGTTCTATCTGAATATCGGGAAGATTAGCACTGCTATCAAGACAGAATTACAAATATCAAACATCATCCCATAATTAGTAATTTGTGCAATAGATGGAATAAACACAGAGTATGGAATTGGAAAACCAACAAATAACTATTTCGAAGAATCCTAAAATCCATTCACCTCTACTTCCATGTACCACTCACTGATCTCTAGTCTCACTCTTGCCCTCTCTAATCCATTTTCTTCATAGTAGCCAGAATGATCTTCTGAAAATGACTGATTGATCACATCCTTCTCAAGCTTACAATTTTACAGTAACTTCTAAATGCATTTAAAAATAACTACAAATCTTTGAATATAGTCAGTGAAGCTAGACATGAGCTGATCCCTGCTGACCTCAATCATTTCATTTCATATTATTCATTGTCCTGAAGGTATCAAGATCTTTTCTGTAATAGAACTTTCATAGATGTATGCTTTTATATTGATCTGGAATGCCTTTCTTGATTTTTTATCTGGCTAAATTTCCATTTTAATTTATATTTTAAAATCTTAGTTTATATGATAGTTGCTATAGAAGTCTCCTTTGACCCATTATTTAGCTGGATTCCCCCTTATCAGTCTTTTACACTAATTTATAGCACTTTCTCCAGTTTATATTACAGGTGCTTCCTCCACCAGACTCTTTTCTTCTTGAGAGGAAGTACTATCTCTCTTTCCTTTCTGAATTCCTATTTTCTAGTTCTGTGCTTTGCAATACAATAGTGGATACTCAACAAATATTTGTTCAGTTATTGACAGACTAAATATATGTCTAGATAGCTCTATAGTAAATGCATACATCTGAGTTTAGTTAGCTCAATGGGCTAGATTGTTAATGTTTACTATAGAGTATCCTCATGGTCAAAGAAAGGTAAAGAAGAACTTCCTATGTACCTATTGTTCCATTAAATTCATGGTTCAAGCTCCATCACAGAGATGATTTTACCCTTACTTGCATTAAACTAAGATAGTTTTACATATTTCTTTCTCACTGTAACTTTTTGAGGAAAAAGATTACATTTCATTCATCTTCATCTTCCACATTGCATACATTTCCAAGATATAAGGTAAGCCTTGGTAGAAATTTCTTTTAAGTATATTTCCCCTTTTTATTAGTACCTAATAAATGCATTCATTGTGGAGAATTGGTATATATACATGTTGTTTCTTGATGCTCTTCAATTTCAAATATATTGTAATTCAAATAAGGTATAAGGTGCTAACTGAAGTTAAGAGAGCAAACTATGATCAGATTTAGTATGAAATCCAATGTAATTATTTAACTTACTGTGATTCTGTATTTCCTGCATTTAAGCCATTGGGAAAGGCATCAGGAATTCAAACAATGACTAGAAAAGTTTCTTTCCTTGTAAATCAATAAGCTTTATATAGAGAAACAAATCCACATCAGTGACCTTTACATAGTGACAACACAAAAAGTATGACTGATTTAGCAGTATCCCAACAGGCCAAATACAGATTTGCCAGGAGCTGCATTCAAGATGTAAAGTGAGTTAATAATTTACTGGTTCTCCTTGGATCAGTAGGTCAAGCATGTGTGTAGCCTCATCTTCCAGACACCATATACTCTCTGGGTTATTGCCTTCATTTACCTCGTTGATTTATGCTCATTTTTCACTTCCCCCTGGATGATGCCACAAGGCAATTCCTGCCCCAGTCCAGGTTCAAAGAAGAAAACAGTTTGGACTGAAGTAAATGAGCTGGAGGGAGCCCTAGCGCCAAAAATAAAGATGAAAAAATAAATGTGTTCCTGATAAAATTAAGGAGTTTTGGTTATCATTTCCCTGTAGGCTTTGAGTGCTTGATGAGCAGCTGGAGGTCATGGAGTGACTCAGAACAGGAAGCATATAAATGGATAGTTATACTGTGCTGCACACTTAAAACTGGTATTTGCCTTAGGGGAGCATTGAATAATTGCTATTAATTGGATTGTAGAAATAGTTACACACTATTTATATATAGCATATATTTGCAACAGAAATAATATATATGGACAATTTGGCTTTCAAGCACCTTGACAATGATTTTAGTAAATGCATAGGGTAGAAGGTCTTTTTTTCATACTGTTAAAGGTTGTAGTATGAGAATGCTTTATTTTTTTTCTGTTTTTGAAAGTCCTGTGATTTTTAATATATTTGAATTTAACTTAAGAGAGATTTCTGAGTGTTTTCAGGACATTACCGCATACTGTTACAAAGGCTAAAACTGTATGTAGTAAATAATATTACAAATAATATGTATACATAGCTAATATTTGTTGGGCAGTCTTTTTATGCCAGGACTTATTTTAAATACTTAATGTGAACTGACTCATCTAATCATCACATACATAAGAGCAAGTAAAGTACTATTTTTATTTCCTTTTTGTAGATGAGAAAACTAAGGGAGAGAGGTTAAATGTTTGCCCAGTCTAACAGCTTGTGAGCTGCAAAGCCTGGGTTCCGTTCTACACACTTTGGGAGCAGAGGCTCTGCACTCTTAACCACCAGGGTCTGCTTGCTCAGTGTGCATCAGCTATTAGTGAAAGGTTTCATCCTCATGAAGCCTATGGGATGGCTTATACTTATTGAATTCACTTAACAAGGGGTGGTTCAGTCAAGGTACCTCCACAACTAAATGGCTGAACTAGGCTTTTAAATTCAGTCTTTGACTCTTGAGATCTTTAATACTCCCCACTACCCAAGAAGGTGATATGCTTATTTTGAAAATAACCTTTAGTATTAGAGATTAAATAGATTTTAAAGGAAAGGGAAGTGACTCAGACTCTAGTAATTATTCAGCTATAATCTAAAATGCGTAACTACTGAGGTTAATTGGATTTCTCTACAATATTTGAAATATTAAACTAATATTAAATGTCACTCTAAAGAATTCTTAAAGGATTCTTAAAAATTAGTATATTAATTCATCTCATTGTCTTTGAAATTACCCAGAGTAAGCACAAAAACCTCTAGAGATCTGTGAACATTACAAAAAAAATTAACTTATTTTGGCTCTTCCAAAATAAAATGAGTAGTTCTTGTTAGCTACAATACATAAAAGTATCACAGAAATTTAAAAAATCGAAAGTGTTATAAAATTATAATTATTATATCAATATAGATTTATTATTTACATTATTTTGCTAATTGAGAGGATTTGTTATTTATATCTGGACTATTAGAAAGTGTTTATGTGCTAGCCAGGTTATAATAATCCAGTAAATTTTAAAAATTACAGAAAAGTATAAGTGGCTATTGCTATTACTATTTATAAAACCATTCCTACCCAAATCTAGGTTTTATCTGAGTTCATATTCAGAGTTTTTTGGGTTTTTTATCCTTTTGTAGAAATCACTATTGCAGAATTTCCAGTTTGTTGTTGTTATAGTTTATATGTGGAAATTGGTCCAAAAGCCTCAGATGTTCAAAGGTGGGGATCTTGAAAGGTGATTTATTATGGGGACATATGGCTAAATGTTGTGTTAGGAGGTGGGGCCTGGTCAGAGGGGGATCGGTAAGAGCATGACCTGAAAGCGAATATCTTCCTTCCGGGTTCCTACTTTCAGTCTCTCTGTTTCCTCTCTGCCATTAGGTGAGACTTTCCTTATCAGCAGGCCCTTCTATTATGTGCTTCTGCCCTGGAGCCAGCCAGGTACGGACTGAAACCTCTTATTAACTGTGAGCCAAAATAAACCTGTCTTATAAATTGAGGGTGTCATGTATGGTATCTCACCAACCAGAAAGTGATTAAGACACATGCTAATCACTGAATGTCAAAGGAAGAAACATTGTAAGTGGGTTGTGGCACAGACGGTTAGCCCAATAGTTTGCCATTTCTGTCTTATTTATGTTTTTATTACCTTTAGGCCCTTTAAACAGCTTGATTTCCACAACAGTCTCCAAAATGGGTCGTCGTCTACGCACATAGAGCCGAACAATGGACCCCGCTTCTTTGAGGGCTTCCACTGCTTTACTGTGGGAAACCTCCGACACATCGACCTCATTCACTCGCAAGATACAATCATTGACCCTGAAAGAAAGGAAAATGGATACGATTCAAGAGTGGCTAGGAGGAGTTCTTGAAGAATATTTTTATGATGCCCATCTTAAATTGTGGGGAAGTAAAGGGTATGGTGAAGTTTGGAATAATAAATTGCAAAAACAAAACAAAACAAAACAAAAAACCAATTCCAAGAAAATCTTAAACTCCTCATCTTTCTCATCTCATTACACTACAGATCAGTTCTCAACCTGAACTCCAGTCCACTCTGACTGGGATGGCATCACATATGCAGAACTGGAAGTACCTGTAGTTTAAGATGTCTGTGTCTTACACCATTCTTTTGATGGATTTTAATTGGTTTGACTCAAGGGTATGATTTGAGGGTTTCTCTGAACTTGTAACTACGGATTATGTAGAGAACAGATATAACTTTAGAGGTTGAGTTTTTCCAAATAATTTACTAAAGTTACAAAAGTAATAAATAATAAAAGTA